CGATGCGTGTCATATTGCAATGCAGCAGGTATACAAAGATAGAAGTTATGTTACAAGCGGTTCAGTTTATGAGTGTGAGACAGAGACTACACTTTAATGTGTGTATTGTGACGTGATTTTTCGAATCACGGTCCCAAGGCGGCTCCGGTTACCGATACAGATAACGTTCTCGATTTCTGGTTCTCTCCGGGTCGTACCCTGCTCAGAAGCTACGCTCTCGGGTTGATTCGTACTGTTATGTCAAGGCTCTCGTAAGATTGTGTCAGTGTTTAGTTGAGGTCGAGGTGCTCGAATCTGCCGTGGGGATGTAGTCTCGACGTACCGAGTTGCCCGGCAGAGGAGAGTACCCGACGGAGACGTCTCCATGGACCGGCAGAAGCCCGGGTGAGATACCGGCGCCCCGCTGGAGATGGGCAAAGGGCTGTAGAGCGGGCGGAGGAAGTTTTGATATGGTTAAGGGCAGGAGAGAAATCTCACTCTCACTCTCCCTCTCACTCTCACTCTCACTCTCACTCTCACTCTCCCTCTCACTCTCACTCTCACTCTCACTCTCACTCTCCCTCTCACTCTCACTCTCACTCTCACTCTCACTCTCCCTCTCACTCTCACTCTCACTCTCACTCTCACTCTCCCTCTCACTCTCACTCTCACTCTCACTCTCACTCTCCCTCTCACTCTCACTCTCACTCTCACTCTCACTCTCCCTCTCACTCTCACTCTCACTCTCACTCTCACTCTCCCTCTCACTCTCACTCTCACTCTCACTCTCACTCTCCCTCTCACTCTCACTCTCACTCTCACTCTCACTCTCCCTCTCACTCTCACTCTCACTCTCACTCTCACTCTCCCTCTCACTCTCACTCTCACTCTCACTCTCACTCTCCCTCTCACTCTCACTCTCACTCTCACTCTCACTCTCCCTCTCACTCTCACTCTCACTCTCACTCTCACTCTCCCTCTCACTCTCACTCTCACTCTCACTCTCACTCTCCCTCTCACTCTCACTCTCACTCTCACTCTCACTCTCCCTCTCACTCTCACTCTCACTCTCACTCTCACTCTCCCTCTCACTCTCACTCTCACTCTCACTCTCACTCTCCCTCTCACTCTCACTCTCACTCTCACTCTCACTCTCCCTCTCACTCTCACTCTCACTCTCACTCTCACTCTCCCTCTCACTCTCACTCTCACTCTCACTCTCACTCTCCCTCTCACTCTCACTCTCACTCTCACTCTCACTCTCCCTCTCACTCTCACTCTCACTCTCACTCTCACTCTCCCTCTCACTCTCACTCTCACTCTCACTCTCACTCTCCCTCTCACTCTCACTCTCACTCTCACTCTCACTCTCCCTCTCACTCTCACTCTCACTCTCACTCTCACTCTCCCTCTCACTCTCACTCTCACTCTCACTCTCACTCTCCCTCTCACTCTCACTCTCACTCTCACTCTCACTCTCCCTCTCACTCTCACTCTCACTCTCACTCTCACTCTCCCTCTCACTCTCACTCTCACTCTCACTCTCACTCTCCCTCTCACTCTCACTCTCACTCTCACTCTCACTCTCCCTCTCACTCTCACTCTCACTCTCACTCTCACTCTCCCTCTCACTCTCACTCTCACTCTCACTCTCACTCTCCCTCTCACTCTCACTCTCACTCTCACTCTCACTCTCCCTCTCACTCTCACTCTCACTCTCACTCTCACTCTCCCTCTCACTCTCACTCTCACTCTCACTCTCACTCTCCCTCTCACTCTCACTCTCACTCTCACTCTCACTCTCACTCTC